GGAGCTGAAGGTGCCGTCCTTCCTCCCCAGCGGCAGTGTGTATCCCAGGGAGCTGAAGGTGTCGTCCTTCCTCCCCAGCGGCAGTGTGTGTCCCAGGGAGCTGAAGGTGTCGTCCTTCCTCCCAAGCGGCAGTGTGTGTCCCAGGGAGCTGAAGGTGTCGTCCTTCCTCCCCAGCGGCAGTGTGTGTCCCAGGGAGCTGAAGGTGTCGTCCTTCCTCCCCAGCGGCAGTGTATGTCCCAGGGAGCTGAAGGTGCCGCCCTTCCTCCCCAGCAGTGTGTATCCCAGGGAGTTGAAGGTGTCGTCCTTCCTCCCCAGCGGCAGTGTGTGTCCCAGGGAGCTGAAGGTGCCGTCCTTCCTCCCCAGCGGCAGTGTGTATCCCAGGGAGCTGAAGGTGCCGTCCTTCCTCCCCAGGGGCAGTGTGTATCCCAGGGAGCTGAAGGTGTCGTCCTTCCTCCCCAGCGGCAGTGTGTATCCCAGGGAGCTGAAGGTGTCGTCCTTCCTCCCCAACGGCGGTGTGTATCCCAGGGAGCTGAAGGTGCAGTCCTTCCTCCCCAGCGGCAGTGTGTGTCCCAGGGAGCAGAAGGTGCCGTCCTTCCTCCCCAGCGGCAGTGTGTATCCCAGGGAGCTGAAGGTGTCGTCCTTCCTCCCCAGCGGCAGTGTGTGTCCCAGGGAGCAGAAGGTGCCGTCCTTCCTCCCCAGCGGCAGTGGGTATCCCAGGGAGCTGAATCTGAGGTGCTGGCACACCCAGCCTGGTTTTTATTACAGTGTTTTCAAATACAGGACCGCCCACAGGGAGGTATAAAACAACCAATAACATCACAGTTACACCCCACATATTCCCTCCCCTTATCCTGAGAGGAAACTCAATTATACCTACAGTTAAAACATACTTTCTACCCAACTTTCATAACTCTAAAACCATACATCACATTCACATAAAATTACACATTCACAATCAATCCATTCAGGAGAACAACATATTAAAAAATGGCCTGAATCAGACCAGGGGTTCAAAAGTTAGTAAAACGTCCTTTGTGACTAAATGAAGCATGGCTTTCTGGCCCAAACCAGTTTCAGAGTCTTCTATCCTGGAGATAAGTAATTCAATTATCTCCCAGGACAGACACAAGACTCCATTAAGCACATGGTTGCAAAGAGACACAAAACACTTTAAAATACATAAAGTCACCTTTATACATAAAACACAGACATTTCACATATCCCCAGATAGCTCAGGTCTGAGCGCACATTATTAAGTGAATGGCGCTCAGACCACACGAATACAGTTTAATCGCCATGGAGCCAAAGTCTTTACAGTCAGTTTCATACAAATGGGCTCCATGGGATTCCTCTCTGGGGTATAACACATTCAAACACATCTACCGAACCCCAGGCAGAAAAGCACGAATACAGCTTTTCTGCAGGCAAAAATAAAGTCTTTTAAAAGGGGCCATAGTCAGATGGCAGGAGGCTGGCAACCAGGCTTCCCAGTGCACAGTGGCGAGGTTGGTTTCGCCACACTTCTCCCCTTTACCAATCAGACTAACAGGGTATCTGACCTCCTGCCGGTCAGTGCCCTTGTTAGTCCAGCAGCCCACCCACAAAACACAATCAGTAATACAGCCCACCCACAATAACTGGCTACTACACCTGGGTAGAGGAGAACTTTGTCCGTGTCCAGATGCCTCACCATGGCTGTGTGGGTGACTGGTCAGCGTACTGGGTGGGTTGCTGAGTGGGCAGAGACCAGCGGTACTCTGTCCTGGTGCCAGCACTACCACGGGAGTAGTCTGGTTGGAGCCTGGTTGCTGGAGGGGGGGACAGACTGTATTCCAGCTTTATATAGCCCTCGCCCAGTCCGTATTCCAGCTTTATATAGCCCTCGCCCAGTCCGTATTCCGGCTCTATATAGCCCTCACCCAGTCCGTATTCCGGCTCTATATAGCCCTCACCCAGTCCGTATTCCGGGTCCGTATTCCGGCTCTATATAGCCCT